AAACCAAACGATAACAATGGCAAGTCATAATCGAAGGATCAGTGGTTGCTATGGTAACCACCGGGACCTTTATGGCCTTTGTTCACCGTCACAACAGCAGATGAAGATCGTAGAGCACCCGTTCATTGCTCGCCCGGTTCTGCAATGGCGGTTGTAAACTTCTTAGAACCATGACGGTTTCGAACACTATGGCCGACGTTTCCTCACGGGAGCATGAAAGCGAAGGTGATAAAAGAAAGATCGAACAACCACGAGAGAAAACTCTAACACCGTACGAACGTCTTTCGTATGACTTGGCACACGACGAACGCTATCTGAAAGAAATCACTCTTGGAAAACGGATAGGATTCTATCGCATTCGTGGAGAGTTAGGTAGCGGAAACTTCTGCCAGGTGAAAATGGGGATACATTCGCTGACAAGAGGTGAGAACGCTCAGTGTAAAGAGAATTAAATGCAGTCATCGCGCGCGTTAGAATCGCAGTTTTACGACATTCATGTTTCGCTGTTTCATTGCAGACAAGGTTGCTATCAAGATCTTAGATAAAACGAAGTTAGATCAGAAAACGCAACGATTGCTCTCCAGGGAAATTTCATCGATGGAAAAGCTTCATCATCCAAATATTATCCGGCTCTATGAAGTGATAGAAACGCTTTCTAAGTTGCATATTGTTATGGAATACGCTCCTGGTGGAGAATTGTTCGCTCGAATTTCGAACGAGGGAAAGTTACACGAGCGAACTGCACGCCGCATTTTTACGCAGGTTACATCCGCTGTGGAGCATATGGTAAGGTCGATTCGTTCTTTTTAATTAAATTTAAGCATTTGTTACACGAAAAAGCATTATTATATGGATCTAAAACTCAGGGTTGGGGAAACTCTGATGGAAAATATAAATTATTGAACATGAAGTGGTTTTAATTTCAAGTGTGATCGATTTCCTAACTTGTTCAGCTCCGACGAAAATATGTTACGTAAACCACACAACTTTCATAGAGGCTGATTATTGCTGATTTTTTATTGTATCACTACTATTATTTTGCAGCACGATAACAATATTATTCATCGAGATCTGAAGGCGGAGAATGTATTTTTCGCTGGTCCAAACTTAGTGAAAGTTGGAGACTTTGGTTTTAGCACTTTATCTACTAAAGACAGCACTTTGAACACATTCTGCGGCTCTCCGCCGTACGCCGCTCCGGAATTGTTCAAAGATGAACACTACATTGGAGTTTATGTCGATATCTGGGCTTTAGGAATACTTTTGTATTTCATGGTAACTGGAGTGATGCCGTTTCGCGCGGAAACTGTTGGAAAACTGAAGAAGTGTATACTCGATGGCACCTATTACCTACCAGAATTTTTATCGGAACGTTGTAAATTTCTATTACGGAATATTTTACGGCCTGTTCCCACGGACAGGTTTACAATGGAGGAGATAAAACATTCATCGTGGCTCGAAGGAGAGTTATTTCCTCGTCCGGACACAACGTACAGCCTAAAACCTCCGGAACCTGACAGTGCTAACTTGTCAGAGGACGAACGCGATGCGTTACGCACAATGAAGGAATTGGGAATTTCTTCCGAGCAATTATCAAACTGCAGGGATTCCAGAGATAGCATTACTGGTACTTACAGGGTAGTTCTTCATCGAATTACGAGAAAGAAAATTGAACTCGCTCGTAAGACCTCCACACTAAGCAGTTACAGCAATAATAATAACAACAATCACCATTTGCGAGGCGAAACACATCCACGGAAGATTGAAAGCAACGAGAGGACCAAAATACAGCCTAAATCGAAATTTTGTGTTATTCTGTAATTGTCATTTTGTGTACAGTAATTTGGTTGTAAGTTCAACCTTTTTGTTAATGAGAAAATATTATGCCAAAGACTATCCAGTCGTTTTACTTGTCCGTCCTTCAGGTTTCATTAATTTTAGTTTGTTTTGGGAAGATTTTAGAACAGCTTTATTTGTTACAAATAACGGATTTGAATGGATAATAAGATCGCTTATTTCACGCAGGCCCGTGAATAAATTCTAACTTCTTTCTTTGATCTATTATTAACACTTAAGTTATATTTGCCTACAATTTTTACACATCTTGTCTCAAATATTTGAACGTAAACATATCATGCGCAAAACCCTCGATCGGGAAATTGAGACGAGCAAACGAATGTTCATTACGCGTGCGGTGAAATGTAATACGTTCCTCCGTAGCTATGGAAGACTTTATTTGTGTGGGGGTGATTAACAAAAATAGTTTTCGTAATTTACGTCAACCGAAATTAAGCATACGAAAAACTTGAAGAGCTTATCAACTATTGTGCAATTTCTTCTTAAATTCATTGCAATTAAATTTCAATTGTTACGTTTTTTTGTAAAAAAAAAATGGTTATTGATTGAATATGAACTCGTATTTGGTTGTGTTAGAGGTTCACATTATAATGTTAAAATTTTACTAAATAATTGGTATTGTTTGACCAATCAGATATCAGAATCTGTTCTAACCACAATATTCTTGTCTGGTTGACAATGGCCCTCCAACAACTTTTAAAATATTAATAACTTTCTTATTTGGCAATACAAATGCATACTTCCTTTTTTCATTGATGGATATTGAGAGGAAGCATAAAGATATATTTATTGTTAGGGGTTTTGAAGTGCCAGAAAAAGGAGAAAAATGTCTTGTAAATAGTAGAGTCATTTGAGGCATATTTTCAGAAAAAAAAGGATTTGTAAATATTCACCATCCAATTTCTCTCTGGAAGTTATTTTTAATTTTTGCAAATAAGTTTGCATTTTATTTATGTGTAGCATCTGAACATCAATGGTTTGATAAGGACTCCTAATAAAAAGTATTTTCATACAACAGACTATATGTACATTAATTTTGAATGCATGTTGTTGTATTCTGCCCTAAGTACCAAGCCATTCAATAGAGACACCGTACAAGTGAATTCTCTTCAGCCAATCAATCATGATGATGATGATGATGGCGACGATGAATAGAGAGCCGCTTCCATTGGGAACATATGTTCAGTCAGGGGCGAGCTTAGGTCAACTGCTGAAAAATGAAACCTTCATTTTTTGATGGGCTTGCTTTAATTCATTGTTTGTTTCTAATAGTCACTTTGATATTCACAAAATGTTATGTTGACAATCTGCTGCTGGTTTATTCAGGTTGTGATAGAGACCAACAAAAAGAAATGTTGTGATCAATATCATGAAACAAATTATGAAATAAAGCTGTGATATTCAAACCATGATGGAACAACATCAGATTATAACAATATTTTTCCATGAACCAGAAATATAGCATGAGCGTGCAGACATCACAAAAAATTTAAATATTTAGTCAACTTAATAGGATTGACTTAAAATATTCTGAAAGAGCAAGAGCAAAAATGTGGTCTATTTGCCAAATTAGAGCAAACTTGTGGCGAGTTATAAGCAACTTTATGCTTTGGAGATGTCTTAAATCCTTCTGCTTCTAGAGTAATTTTTTTATTGAGGTGGATTGTTAATGGAATAATCCTATCAAAATTCACATGAAGTCATCTATGCATAACATTGATTATATTTTTTCATATTTTCACCACCAATTTGCACGAGCATGCTGATTGTTTTTGTAAAGTGGATAGTTTTCATCTTGTTTTTTCTGATTAGCCCACCCAATCCCATAATTTCTTAAATTATTTTTTTGTGGCATTATCTTCTCTTCTCTATAACCTCTATGTACAACTTGTCCAGCAACCTTTTTTTCTTTTTTGGTACACTTTTTGAGATAACTAAAAAAATTCAATTTTATTGAAATGATACATTCCTATTCAAAAGGAATTTGCAAGTACCAGTATTAGATCATTTCATTTCATTCTGGTATTTTATGCAAGTGACAAACCCTGCTCTTTGTTTGGAAAGCTGGCACTTCCACAAATCAGTCAGGAAAAGTGTTTTTATTTTATAGAATTAGAAGTGCTGATATTTTTCCAGTGACAGGGTTCATACTCTTTTAACTCTTCAAATTCCAGGATCACTTTCCATGACTTTTTTCATGACCTTTTAAAGTTTTCCATGACCTTACTGGTTTAGCTGTCACCTTTTACAAATTTTTAAAGCTTTTGTGTTTTAGGGTATTTTTGACCTTTAACAGTTCAACAGGCACCACCTCTGGTGTCCACCAAAATGTGTGCCATTCATGCTGTCCATGCTTTGTCATCTGCAGTAACTAATCTAACAAACAAAACTTTAATTTTCCATGACTTTTAAGGACTGACAATTAAATTAAATTAAATTCCGTGACTTTCCAGGCCTGGAAAATGAAATTCTTAAATTCCATGATTTTCCAGGTTTTCCATGACCAGTACGAACCCTGCAGTGAGACTGAGTGTTCCCTGTTAGCAGAAGGCTCTTTTCCCCCGGTACTTGGCAGGGGGGAGGAAAAGAGACCACCTGCCGCATACCAGGGAAAAGAGGCCTCTGTTGAACCTCGTTCCTGGGGGGGGGGGACCCTTATGTTAGGAGACAATGGAGGTGGCCTGCATCCGAGAGGTGAGAAGGCTCACTCCCAAAGTGGCAAGATACCAAGCCAAATTTAAAGCTGCAATTTACACTGGGCTAAGAAGAATTCCATTAAATTGCATTCACCACTGAAGACTGTACTTGTGCAAAATATGGGTCTATCCTAAAAATAACTCAAAGAAAATGGGTTTAGCCCTGAAGAATTTCATGAAAAGGTGATTTCTTGTTCGCCCTGAAGATTTTGGTACAAATTAATCTTCATCCCCGAAGACTTCCATATTTTTGTTTGTACCCCGACAGAAATCCTCCATATTTATAACTTACCCGTGAAGAATTCCATTGGTCCTTTGAATGCAATAGCCCATTAAATAGTCCCTTAAAAGTTAATATTAATTAAAAAGTTGCCAGAGAATAAAACATCCCATCAGCCCTTTCGCACAATATGAAACTTGCGTGGCTACTAAGTAGAGAGAGGTTACAAAGCATCCAAGATGGCGTCGATCTGATATTCATTGGTTTGGGTAAAAGTTCTTTAAGTTTTCCTTTCTTTTTCATCTCATTGACACTTTCATTAACAATACGTAATGGATAAACAACAAGCTCCTTCTCCAGTACAAATGGGGGCAAGGACGATTCTACAGCAAAAGGTATTCGAGAGTCTTGGTGCAAAACTTCATACAGGCTACATTTATAAGTCTTCTAATTAGCTACTTAGTTTAACTAATATAATCAGATTATTTAGAATATTGTGTGTTGCCGGTTGTAAGCTTGTGTCTTAATGAAATTCGATATATGAGTCGTATTTTCCATGTATAAATCGTGATATAAGGCTCATTAGAGTGCTGATTATAAAATTCCTCCGTACGAATTAAATATTTTTCTCATGACCACAGAATTAATGAGAATTGGTGCTACATTGAAAAGAAAGACTTGCCAAATTTTTCTGTCCAAATTAATCCTGGAATCAAAACTTTAAAACCCTAAAAATCCTTTGATTATCACCGTCTCTTGAAATCCTGAGCACCCACTTCCTGGGCTTTGAGAGGTGACACAGCCTTGAAACAGTGATATAAGGCAGATAAAATAGCATCAAACAACGTAACATAAAATTTAAAAAGTGACCATGAAACAACAAATCTATGTACAAAATTATAGTAAATACCCACAGAAAGATAGCTTCCTCTACAGTAGACCTTGTCACGGTTTTGTATGCCATCTTGATGAGTAGGCAAACGTTTGAGAAATTACAGTGTTTGTAGGAGAATCTTATGTCGAATAATTTCCGTAAAACTACTCTTCTGAAAAAAAAAATCAATAATTGATATTTTTGACAATAATTGATATTTTTGACAATAATTGACAAACCTTTGCTTTGTAGCTTTAGTTTACAATCATTGTAAACTAAAGCTACAAAGCAAAGGTTGTCCCAAAATATTTTGGGGGTGTATCTGTGCTTAAATTTCTCCAGAGGCTTGCTTTCAATTTTCCATATATTAGTCTGTAATTTTTTGTGGGACTTTCTTACAAACAAATGTATAGAAAATTTTAAAAAGTGGTTCTGGTGCATGTAATGCACTCAATTTTTTTCAGTAGAATCCTTAGGAGTGAAGCTTTAGTTTACAATTCACTTTTTTTTTAGAACAGCCATTCAATGAAAATCATTTGACATAAGATTCTCATGCAAACACTGTACACATGCTTTTGCCTACTCGTCAAGATGGCGTCGAAACCGTGACAAGGTCTATTCATGGGAAAAATGATTTTTGAAATTGAAACTGGAGACTGTATGACCTTCCTCCCCACCCCTTTTAAAGAAGCCCTTAATATAGAAAGCTAAAGAATTCTAATATAGAAAGCTAAAGAATTCATCACCATCTCTCCTGACTTGATTTGATGTCTTGCCATACTTAGGGTGGATTCATTTGTAGCATTTGCTTGTTAGTATTTTTATTACTTTTTAATTTAACAAAAAATTCTAGTGGGCAAATACAATGGCTAGAGGCTGTCATGCTAAAAATGAGTCCACCCTATTAAAATAATATTATGTCTGCTTCAATATTACTAATAATTGAAATTTATCACTTAAATTAATATGAAGCATAACCTTTTTCTAAAAATTATATGGTCACAAGAAATTTCCTCTCCTTTGGAGTCGACTCCAAAGAGACGTGGAACTCCACTGGTTTTTGCTGATACATAAATTAACACACCATGGTTATATGTGTTGCATACAGGTCGGTGCTATGTCACAGCCATCAGTGTCTGGATTCACAGCTGGTGCTGCTAACACCAGCATGTACAAGGTGCGGGTACCAAGGTGAGGCACTTACAATGTCGTATACTTCAAATTTTGGTCAAAATTCACTGTGGGGTGTGGGGAGGGGTACATATCCAAAGGAAGGTGTATTACACTGTGGGGTGTTAGGGACCTTATGATCTGACAATGATGACGTTAACGACAATATTACTATTCCTAACTGAAACATTGACTTTGCATCCTTTCAGACTTTTTTGTGATTATTCAAACTCCTTCAGTCTTTTTAATATTGGGAAATTAAGTGGCAGGTGAAGAGAGAAGACCGCAATGGATCTCAGAAAGAGACAGTAAAATTAATTACCCTGCTGTTCGGGTTCTTGAGAGAACAAGACAGCAATGAAACACTTGCTACACGGGCTACAGACAATATTTCATTTTGCCAGTTTGACTTAGAGGGTGGGTACTTACAGTTTACAATTATTGGTTTCTTCACAATCACATTCTTCTCATTGTCTGATTCTTATTACCTATTAACAATTTTTGTTATTGTGTAAAGAAATAATACCTCACAAGAGACAAATGCTAGCTACCGGTAGCTAGCCTTAATTTCTTCCAGTGTGGCCCAGTGATTTCTGACATAATTTAAACAACTTAAATTTTTTCTTTCAAGGCACTTGGCAAAAAAATATTCAGTCATGCGTTTCCAGAGTACCAAGGTGGATATCTCAGCAGTTTCAAAGGTACATTTATAAAAGACACTATGCAGATGTACACATCTCTACCTCTTTTTAAAAGATGGTCAGTCTCATGAGACATTTAACCAGAGATCAGACCCAATTTTGGCAGCTTTCATACATTTGCTCTTATAGTTTCATTCTAATAAAAATAGAGCCAGCGTGCAAAGAAAGTCATGTCTGATAGCCCGGGGCTAGTAGAGTTTGCTATTGGGCTAGTGATTTTTTTTCTTAACTTGCACAAGGGGCAAGTGCTGTTTTTTCGGGAAGTTCAAATTACAGAAGGATTGTAATCAATCCTGCTAATCAAAAGGAATTGGGGGCTAGTTGAAATGACTTGTGGGTTAGTACATGCTACAATCAGCGACAAAATGAGTTGAGACACCACCCAAAACTAGGCTTTTTTACGTTTCACTATCTTCAAAAGGAGGAAACATACCTTTTCCTCCCCCTTCTCCTCCATGCAATGTTGTGCTGATGTTCAAACTACCTAAAGAAAACAACAAACACCCTAACTTTGAATGGAGGGGACAGGGGAGGGGCGCCAGTTCTTTTGTTCTCCAAAGGTACCCTATGTCTCAACAATTTTGTCGCTGATTGTAGCTACAGCTTGCCCGAATGGCAGACTGTAAAACTGACTTTCTTTGCACCCTGAGAACAATGTTGCCAGGTTAGGGACTCTAAATTTCTCACTCCTTGTAGAAGCTAGTGCAAACAAATTCAAAAAGAGTCAAAATTTCTGTTTGTAATACCCTGAGAAATAAATGACTTCATGCAAAAGGTTTCCCAAAGAGGTTTTATTTGAATGGCAACATCATAAGATTTCCCCCATAGATCCCTGCTGTTGTAACTTGGTGTACACCATGTAGAGATGGAAGGGTTAACATTAGGGACTTTAAGATCCAAACAGGTGAAAGTCGCTTAAAAAGTGAATTTGCGTTCTTTCAGTCTTTATCGCAATTATTCCTTAGTACCCACTTTCTTTGTCAAATATAGGCGAACCCTCCTGGAGTTGAATTCCTAGGAACCATATCCAAGTTCAGAAAGAGAAATTAAATTTCATCGTTGCTTGTTTATGTTCCCCATAAAACTCGAAATTAGGCATTTTCACATCGTAGGCATGCAAAAATGGGAAAAGAAATGTACAAACAAGTGTGATGCAGGTGCAAAGTTGTTGTTTTGCTTGTAAAACCTATTGTTTTTTTGACGTTCTTGTTGTCGTCTGCGTCATCGGATCTTAAAGTCACTATTATACTGATTGAAATGCTCTTTAAGACAAAATATGTGACTCCAAGATTTTGCTGGCATCCTTGATGTGGATTAGAGTGACTTTGTTACCTCTGCGTCCCGCGTCCCGCGTCCCTGACACAAAAAAATCCTCAAAGATGCAAATAATTCATGGCATGCGTCCCGTAGAATGCAGAGATCAATTGATTGAACTAAACAAGTGTATTTGGAGAAATATCCCATTTGTTTAATTTCTGTGGCAGTTATTATGGCTATTGTTTTACAATGCATATTTCTTTTAGCCTTTGTTATGCTTTAAAATAGAGAGATTATATTTTAATTTCAGTATACTCTAATACAGAGTTTTGGAGTCTGTCTTCAGATTAACTGTCTGGTTACATAAAGGCCCAAGCATTTTCTTTTTTAGCATAATTCAAAACGATATTTCTTTTTAGGCCCAAATGTCCCGCCAGACAGAATCAATAGAAGAAAAAGAAAGTGAAAACCTTCCTACTTTTGGTGCTGGTAGTGAGTTTGGTCGTGAAAGGAGGGAGGAAGCGCGTAAGAAACGCCGTGGACATGTCACCCAGCCAAAGAATCCTGAGGCCGCACCATGGAATTTGAGGATTGGAGGCAAGAGTGGTCGCAGGTAATACAATGTATATCCTATATTTGTGGCTATTAAAAGTTGTTATCATTTGAAGCAAATTTTTCTTTCGTTTCATTGGCTGAGAGCCCACCACGTGACCTGCAAATAACTGCCTACAAATAATGGTCTGCTCATGCACAATGCTGTCCAACTGTGTTTGGCTGCAAATAATATTCTGCACATGCTTTTCTCCTTCTTGCGATCGCTCTTGCATGAAAATTGCAGATCGCTTTACTTCCTGAGGATTTTCAGTAAAAAAACAAACTCGGTGATCGAATGGTAAAACAATTGTATTAGTTTCTAATGAAAGATATTTATTGTGGTGTGTGTATGATGGTAGAGCTCCTCGCACGCTCTTTGTGCACATGAGCGGAGCCCCATACCAAAGAAATCTGAGAAATTTTGGTAATCACGTCACTGTACGTCTGCCCATCCATCAGCACCACAGGGAAGCCAATGTGAAATGTCAAACTTTCAAGCTAGTGTGGGAGCCTGTAATCTGTGTTTAACATGATAACAGACATCCATATTACAGTCAATTGACAGCTGTCAAAACAGGGTATCCACTGACCAGAGCCACATGACTGTATTGCGGGCTCTGATGCAAACTCACCGAGGTCAAGTGTTTTTAAGTTTTCTGCTGACCAGTTGTTAGCTTTTAAATGATCGCAGGCTCAAGTTTCTGTTTTTCATTCATACAGTTGTCCCCTAAAGTTAAGTATAAATTTGTGGATTACCTTGCAGTTGTTTAAACTCCATTGTATGAAGTTAAAGTAAAATGCATAAATGGGAGCTTCGCTTTTAGCTCTGGCAAAATCTATTTATTAGGGATTGTTCATGGTCTGTCTTGTTATTAATGGTAAAAGAGGCAATCCACATATGAATTTAACCGAACAACATCAAAATTTGGAGACTGTGGAATGGAGATTCCAGAATCTTGGATGCCTATGATGAAACAGAACAGAAACATTGCAGTTGTATAAAACAATGCGCAGGATCGAAACGCACCAACTATAATTGTGGTTTGTGTTGTACACCAATCACCAGCAAACACAAAGCAATTTATAGTCCCAAAGCCAATTGATACCAGGGCCCAGTGAAGACTAGTTAAGATCAATGACAAAGTGGCTTTTGTCAAACGATCACAAATGTTAAATAAGCCTTATCATTTGACAATATTTATGGCAATTCACATGTGAAGTGAACTGACATTCCCCCAACAGAGTTATTGCGAGTCATTAGCAGTCAAAAGTTTCAAATCTACACTGGTTTCCTTGCAGGTTTACTGGCCGAAAGGAAGCAGGAATTAATGAGAATTCTTCTTACTACATTTTAACTCAATGTGAGGATGGAGCATTTGAAGCGGTTCCAGTCAACAACTGGTACAGTTTCACTGCCGATATAAAATACCAGACATTAACAGCTGATGAGGCAGAAGAGGAGTTTAATCGCCGTGAAAGAACAGTGAATTATTTCTCTCTTATGGTTAAGAAGAGGCTAGCAGACAATAAAGATGATATGGAAGAAGGGGAGCACAGTGACATGGATAAACGTTCCAAGATAGCGAGTAGAACAGCAAATTTGGTAAGAAAAAATAACATTATTCCATTTTAACCCTTTCAATCAAAAGTGGCAAAAGTCAATATTACTCATTCAAAATATTTCTCTGTTTCTGATTGGCCAAAATCACACGCATAATTATTCATCATAACCAGCTACTGTTGACCAAATTTGGAAGTATCTTGCAAGCAATATTGAACCAATGACGTCAAAAGTGCAGGAACTGTGATCCAAAGACAGCAAAGAAGGAAGTGCTGGTATGATACCAATTCTAGGTCTTTTAAGGTTTGCCTTGCCCACCTACCCCTCCCCTAAGCTAACATTAACACTTCTCACTTAGGGCAAAATGTTGCCTTAGGGGAGGGGTAGGTGGGCAGTTTCCTAGAGACATATAATGATCCAGGCATGCCTTCTAGAAAGTGAAAGAAAAGAACTAAAGAATTGCTGGGATTATTTGTCAGTGTCCATTTTAGGGAGCTGTCTGTGTTATAGAGGGGAGTTTGTCTGGAGGAAGTTGAGTGTACATCAAGTTTATGTGAAAAAAAACCTTGTTAAAGTTCTCACTTTTTTGCTGCAGATTATTCATGATGACGAAAGGGATTTATCGCTGTCAGAGGAAGAAGATGATGATGAGGAGGAAAATCAAGGGAGCAGTAAAGAAGGTAAACCGTGATCTGCTTTGTGTACTTTTTTTTACCGTGAACTAACTTGTTTTCTGATATATCAAACAATAAATGTGTTTTCCCTTTGTTAACTTCATGTAAAGCAATAGTCTATTCTAAAATTCCATGAGGAGGTTAAACTTTCAGATTAATTTGCTGTATGGATATTAGCGGCCTTTGAATTTGATTTTGAATACAAGATCGAGTCACGTACAACTAAACGTCGGTTATGGGACCATTAACAATGGTTAATCAGTCTTTTAGTTTGCCTCCCCCCGCCCCCCACCCCGTCCCTCCTGCCCCCAACCGTCGAAAACGCCCTACTGTTCCTTTGGCAAATAGCACGTTCATCTTTATTCTTAACCTGTGTTCTGACCCCCCCTCTACCATACAAAAATCGGGAACACGATTAACGTCGTCTCCTCTGTGGGTTGAATGTTAGGCAGCTGATGTTGTTTCCTTCCGCAGATAAAAAGGCCAAGAAAGACAAGCACAAGGTCGGACAGAAAAAGCAGCAAAAGGCTAAGAAAGGTTCAGATGCTGATAGCGATGTCTCATCTGGGGAAGATGGTTACCTGGATTCCAAGGAAATGGATTACTTATCTGACAGCTCGTCCTCGTCAGAGGGTAAGACTTCTTAAACCTTCAAACGCCAATATCATCATCATCATCATCATCATCATCATCACCATCATCATCGTCGTCGTCATCATCATTTTCATCGTCATAATCACATGCAAGAGAGAATGAGGTAGCTCATTCTCTCTTGTCATATCAACAGATAAAACAGTTTCACCCATAGAGGATATTACATGGCCGCGCGGAGATACGAAGTTTCTCTTCTCGTGTTGAAAAAATAGTTCACTCGTTCACTGCGCTCACTCGTGAAATATTTTTCAACACTCGAAGAGAAATTTCGTACCTCCAAGCGCCCATGTAATGTTCTATTTATTATATAAACACCAATGAACTACCAAACCATTTCACTTTAATAGTTTTTTGGTCAATGGTGTGAAAGGGGCGATTTATTATGTAATAATAATAATAATAATAATAATTTATGAACTTATAGTGCGCAGCTTAACATGAGAATGATCAGCTGCGCATTACAACTACATTACTTTAAAAGAAACAAATAAAAGATAATGCATTAAAAGAATAAAAAATAAGAAGAATATATATGCATGCAAGTAAGAATTGAATATAAAATTGCTCACCAATATAAAGTTTTAAAAAGATAAGTCTTAATATGCGCCTTAAAACTGTTCACATTAGTAATCGCACGAAGTTCTTTTGGGAGAGAGTTCCAGAGCCTTGGCGCTGCTACCATAAAAGCTCTATCACCTAACGTCTTCGATTGAGCAGCTAGCATAGAAAGTAAAATACTATCTGAAGATCTAGTCATAGCAACGGTGAAATTTTCACAAGTTTTCGTGCGAAAGCTCACTTGCTATTTCATTGGTGTTTATATAATAAATAAAGTTATTTTTGACATATCTTGTTTGATGATAAACAATACCACAAGAAACACACTTTACGATTTCATTTACAGACTCAAAAGTTGACACTACCTGATATAGTAAACAGTACCACAAGAAAGGACTGTTCAGTAACTTTCATTTGAATGGTCAGGTCACACTTAGAGATTTCATCCACGGACTCAAAAGTTAGAACCACTTTGTACAACATAATAATCAGCACCACAGAAAAGAACTGCTTAGTGGCTTTCATTTGAATGGTGACACTTTAATAAGGATTTCGTCGACAGACTCCAAAGTTAGAACCACCTTGTACAGCATAATAAACAGCACCACAGGAAAGTTCTGCTCCGTAGCTTTCATTTGAATGGTCACACTTGAGGATTTCACCCAAGGACTCTAACCCCAGAATCTCCTCTGATGGTTATTCAAATTCACGGCCATCCTAATCGTACGTTGTTATTGTCGTTATGTTTTTGTTGTTGTTGTTGTATTACAGAAGATGTTATGGCTTTAAAAGTGAACAAACCGAAAGCTGAAGATGACCTCAATGCCGAAGAGACATCAAGCGAAGATGAGGATGAACTAACACAAGAAGGACATGAGCTGAAAGATATGTTGGAACGAGATGAAGGGAAAGAGTCCTGGGACGAGGATGAAGACGAAGAAGATCCGGACGGGGATGAAATGAAGGGAACGTCTGCTTTGTTTTTACAAGGTTAGAAATCATGGCACAACAACAGTCAACAAAAACAACAATCTTTATTTGTACTCAGAAATTACAACAGTGAAACTATTGAAAGTAAAATTAGAGTACTGGCTGCCTGGAAAAACCATAGAGGCTAGTGGAGACGGGCAGCCAGTTGATGATAGTAATAAAAGTGAGTGGAGTTCAATTCGTTCTGTAATCATACGAGTGATAAACAAAATCAGACGACCGCGTAGCAGGAATCCGATTTGCTTAATCACAAGTAGAGTAAAGACGCGGCGGTCGCATAGCGCGGGAAAATGTCACGACGTGTTTACCTATGTGGCCAGTCACACAGTGAAGTGACGTAAAATTAACGAATCTGACCAATCACCGTTCGTGCAAGACACTTAACCAAGCAGAAATCGAGGCGGTTACGATTATCCAAAGAGAGGCTATCGTAAGTAAAATGCAACAAAGGGGATTGCTCTGGCCAATCACATGAGAGGCAATTTATTAAATGAACCAATCAAATTACAGAGTAAAGACTTGGAGATGGCAAGCGCGGGAAAATGCTACGACTTGTTTCACTTTTAGTTGCTTGACATGTGGCCGTCTTCGCCATAGGTGCGAAAACACTTAATTACTAAACTGGTGAACAAATTTTGACTATCTTGGGTGCGTTTTGCTCGTATATGATCTCAAATTTATTTTGTGTTTGTAAAGGTGACAAAAAGAAAAAGAAGAAGTCTGGGAGTGGCTCCAGTACCTCTTCAAATAGCCGTTCATCGACCCCTACGATTGCTACAGACGGCGCTGCTAATACCATTGCTGCCGCTGCTACAAAGCTGAGTCAGGACAGACCAGGGACTCCCTGTAAGTATATCCCCACTATTTCCCGGGTTCGTAGATGAAATTGTATGGAGTGACCGTATAAATGAAACCTATTTAGCAAAACCTTCGTCAGGTACTAGTTCTTTCACAGTATTTTACAAACTAGCATTTTGGATGTTGTTCCATTTGTTCCCGATCAGTTTCATGTTCCCCGTGTTGAAAAAATTTTCTAAATTGTCTGGGTTTTTGTAGCAAAATCAAAGAAGCGTCCAGCAAGTGCAAGTAAAAAAGGTACCCCAGGCGAAGAGGGAAGTCCAGCAAGCAAAAAACCTCGTGTATCCCCGGCACCTTCCGCGGGAGGGGCAGGAGGAGGCTCAAGAACAAGCACCCCAACACCGACCGGTAGTGAGGAAGGCCCTCAGGGAATCACTGAAGAAGCTGTGAGAAGGTACCTCACAAGAAAGCCCATGACCAGCAAGGACCTTTTGCAAAAGTTCAAGAGCAAACGAACAGGCCTGTCAAATGATGAGACCGTGAAAAAGCTTGCTGCTATTGTTAGAAAGATACAACCCGAACAGAAGACCATCAAAGGGAAACTTTATCTGTCGCTTAAACCACAGAGCTAAGATGTGCGCGTGAGAAGGTCTCTTGTTTCGTCCCATTCTCGCTTAATCTTCACGTGCGCGCCTGATTAAGTCGCTTTAATAATAGATCTTTTTACCTTGGGTTGTGTGTTAACCCATTCTTACTTTAGTCAAAAAACATTAGCGTTAATTGCAAGTTATGCGTGGTTACTACCAATAGAACGTTTTCACTCACCTAGCCAGTATCTATGGAAAATTCATTGGAACAAAAGAAAGTGTTTAAATAAGAAAAGAGCCCAACTCCCACAAGAATTGCTCCGAACACCAACATGGCCGCCATTTTATTACTTAGGAACACCAATATAGCTTCCGTGACGTCATTTGAACGTTCTATTACGCATACGCTTTCAAGCCAAAAATGCTCGTTTTATGCGCAGTGCGTTTCTATTGAGCCAGTACAGTCAAACCCCGTTAATACGGACACTGAGGAGGCCATATCAGGTGTCCGTATTAAGCGGGTTGAATTTAGAGAAAATGTAGGGGCTTTCTTTTCCCAGGGACAAAGCAAACTGTCTGTAATAACGAGGTGTCCGTATTAAGCGGGTTGAATTGAGAGAAAATGTAGCGGCTTTCTTTCCCCAGGGACAAAGTAAACTATCCGTAATAACGAGGTGTCCGTAAAGTGAGGTTTGACTGCACAAGTTCCTGATCTTATCCCGGTACAGATCACTACTGAAGAGGATTTCCTACCAATAGACCTCTCAGACTGTTCACAGTACCCTATTTTCCCGTAACATTGTCGAGACCGAGCACCTACCGTTACGAGCGGCCATCTTGCTTTCAGCGGCTACACATAGGCTACGAGAGGGTGGGCGTCGGGTTTAACCGTCCCCCACTCCCTAAGTGTATTTGATCCTCCTCCCCAGGCTAGACTCGGTAAATAGGCGACTGTTAACAGTTCATAAACCTTTCGGCATTCCACTGTTCCATTCCAATGAAACGAGCTTGGGATAAAATTTCATACAAACCACTGTATTTTGTCAATAGACCTCTCAGGGTGCGTTTGATTGGGAAATCCGGATTTAGATTTTCAAAACCTAAATCCGGATTTCCCAATCGAACGCGAAATCCGAAAACGGATTTCACCTCCGAGAAATCCGTCCTCAGGGTGGATTTCAATTACGAAATTCAAATCCGGATTTTTTGATTTCCCTCTCTGTCGTTCGATTGGGAAATCCGAAAAAGGATTTGCTAAACTGTTCTCGTGAACGAGCTGAGGATAAAATTTCATTCAAATCACCGTATTTTGTCAATAGACCTCTTAGACTACAAAACAGTCGTACTTTTTCTCAAAATCGGTTTTGTAGGGTGCGAAGCGCTGGCCTGATCGATATTTTCGCCCAGAGCACGTGGGCTGTGGGGCGTGTGTCTCTCTCTAGTCTCACTCTTCGTTTTCACCCTGACTTCAGGCCTTCAGATGCGCAAGTTCACGTGCATCCACGTGTATATGTATGCATAATTTATGAAAAGACAAAAGATAAATTCCTGCATTGCCTAACGTGAAAAAAAAAAAAAAACACATACAAGCTAAACAGGTCTATTCGAGGAAAAAGTTAGTGACTTCCTTGACAGGAATGGGGTAGAGATCTACCTTTGAGTCATGCCACAGGCATACCATCCGAAATGTTCGATTCATCGTGATGTCTCGCGCGCTATTTGATCTTATACCGGTCATGCGGCGCGGTATCTTGTCAACTCACCGCATGCTTAGTACATTTATGTTAGTTTTTAAGATGTCAATACTCGAAATAATTAGATAAAATGCCTCGTTCCTAGGCGTCTCAAGTGTGTTTGGGGAACGGAAAAAGCGACTGCGAGCAATTTTATCGCACAATGGACCATGGGAACGTTTAGCGTTTACGCAATGGACGCTGGAAGGGAAAGCGACAAAATGACATAAATCAGTGTCTTGGTAGCCTGCCTACTCGCAAAATATCAAATCGACCGCAAGACAAACCGTTGTGAATAAAAACCACGATAATTTTGCCATAAAATAAATCCTATTGACCAAGCTTGTTCAGTCAAGATGTAACTGGATACTAGCGTCATTTTTTTTTTATTGGCCTCGACTTGGTCTCGGTGCACAAAATGCAAAAAGGGAATTTGGCCAAATATCCAATCATATTGACCTCACGCTTGGTCAGTAATGCATATTTGACAGGAATAATGATGAAAATAAAAATAGTCGTCACGCCTTAAAAGATTCTGCTTTCGTTTTCACAGCCTGTTTCCCTTCGTCATTGGAGCAGAAGCTCAAGAAAGACTTGGTATCTGAAATTTGCTGCCTGAGTCAGGAGTTCCAAACGGTAAGAAAATGCACTTAGCAGCCGTGTTTCTACACGCGGTCAAAAAACCTTTACTTTGTTTAAAAATGGCATGTTCAGTTACGTGGTGGCATTGAATGATGCGGGAAGCTTCCTTGTAGCTCAGTATTCAAATTATGAAACTGTTCAAAAGAACGTCGAACGGAGGCTTTCACAGCAAATGGTAATGAATGATAGCCTTGTTTTGTGAGCCTTTTTTACTGTTTTGGTCCATTATTCGAGCTAGCGAAGTAAGCTCTCGTTTTGGAACGTTCTGGAAGGAGAATGAAGTGAAAACAAGCTTCGATCTACGGCAATAACGTAGAGCCAGTGCGAAAGAACTATTGCGCACTTAGAAGTAACTTTTTGACGTTAACTCTCTTTAGATCTTTGTTAAACTTTTCAAAAAGAACTCAAAAACCATAAGCTTTATGTTCTGATTGTTCGTTTACCATCGAAACTCTATAATCTTCATCGATAGTCTCTACAGATGAAGCATGACGGCCTGTTTTGCACAGTTATGTTCTACAAGTATTCGGTCTTAGTTTAGTTAAAATATGTCTAGTGTAAAGTAAATCCTATTGAATTGGAAAGTAAAACTGAATATAAAATAGGCTGCAGAACAGGCGCCTCCACAGCCTGCAAAACTGTGTTAAATAGGAAGACCGGTCTCGGAAATCTAAAACGGTTTACTTCGTCAGTTGCTTTAACAGTTAGTTGCTTTTGGGGTTGCGAGCAAAAGAAAGGAAGACCATGGGAACGTTTAGCTTTGAACTAAGGACGCTGGGAAGGGTAAGCGAGAAAATGAGATAAATTAGTGTCTTGGTGGCCTGCCTACTCGTAGAATACTAAATAACAGCAAGACAAACCGTTTTGAATCAAAACCACGAGAATTTGGCTGTAAAACAAATACTTTCTTGACCAAGTATGTTCCGCAAGATAGCCGGATTCGGCACTTGCATGCACATCTCCCATAATGCACCTTATATGCCCCCCCCCCCCCCCCCCCCCCCCCCCAAATTTTGCATAACCTTTCAGGTTGTTTTTCATTTCTCCTGGATATTATAGCCGTCCCAAGAGAAATTGAAAATAATGCTTACGCAAAATTTTGGGAAGCAAAGAAGGCGCATTATAGGAGATGTGCAAGTGGCGTATATTGGCGTCGTTCTTTTTTTCATTGGCCCCGACTTCGAATCGGTAAACACAATGTTAGACTTGCTACAAGTCGACCTCTCATAAGTTCTTAAAAGTGAGCGATCGAAGAGAGCTTCAATGCGTGAGGTCGCGTAGCGACCGAGCAAACGAAGAAGTCTCGTGGCATAACCAAGTAGGAAAGAAATAAAGGACTTTAAGAAAGTCTAACAAAATGAGAAAAAAAAAAAAAAGAAATTTGGTCATATATCCAGTCATATTGACCACCTCACGCTTGGTCAGTAATGCATATTTGAAAGGAATAATGATGAAAGTCAAAATAGTCGTCACGCCTTAAAACATTTTGCTTTCGTTTCGACAGCCTGTTTCCCTTCGTCATTGAAGCAGAAGTTCAATTATACCTTATAAAGACTTGGTATCTTCGAAATTTGCTGCCTGAGTCCGGAGTTCCAAAAGGTAAGAAAATGCAATAAGCAGCCGTGTTTCTACACGCGGTCAAGAAACCTTTACTTTTTTTAAAAACGGCATGTTTAATTACGTGGTGGGATTGAATGATGCGCAAAGCTTCCTTGTCGCCCCAGTTCAAACTACGAAACTGTTCAAAAGAACGTCGAACGGAGACTTTCACAGCAAATGGTAAGCAATGATAGCATTTTTGTGACCATTTTTCACTGTTTCGGTCCATTATTAGCGCTGCCGAAGTAAGCTCTGGTTTTGAAACGGTCTAGAAGCATAATGAAGTTAAAACAAACTTCGACCCGCGGCAATAAGGTAGAGGCAGTACAAAAGATCTGTTGCGCACTTAGAAGTAACTTTTTGACGTTAACTGTCTTTAGATCTTTGTAAACATTTCAAAAAGAAACCAAAAGCCATAAGCTTTATGTTCTTATCGTTCGTTTACCATCGTAACTGTATAATCTTCATCGAGAGTCTCTACTGGTGAAGCATGACAAACTGTTTTGCATTTTTATGTGCTACAAGTATTCGGCCTTGGTTTAGTTAAAATATTTTCTAGTGTAAAGTAAATCCTATTGAATTAGAGAGGTGAAACTGAATTATAAAGAAGCCTGCAGAACAGGCGTCATTTTTTTCACGTTTTTTAGGCGAGCGAAGATATGCTTAGTAGATTTCTGTTAATCTTAAAGATGTCAGCACTCGATATAATTAGATAAAAAACCTCGTTCCTAGGCGTCTCAATTGTGTTTGGAGAACGGGAAACGAGACTGCGGGCGATAGTATCGCGCGTTGGACCGTGAATGAATGAATGAATGAATGAATGAATGAATGAATAAAGAGTCGTGTATGAGAGAACAACAGACGTGCCCTCCTACAATATATTTTAACATGTGAACAGTAAGTTCGGACGTAAGCATACAAATGCGCCACTGGCAGCCGCTCTCAGTCCATTTATGATCTTACTGTACCCACCCAAACCATGATGTGAATGATGTGATGTGTGTAGGTTGACCACTCCACTGAGGTCTACGTCTCCTACTCTTGTCGAACTGTGGTGTAGGTTCTTTTATGTCCCACAAGAACCAGATAACTGTAATTGCTGTGAGACGGGACCTACGGTTTTTCGTCCTTATCCGAGAAGACTAGAAAGTCTAACTGTTTGCAGAAGTCATTACAAAGGCAGCACTTTCTTCTCAGTTCTTTAAAGACCCTTAATGTTGGTCCGGCCGGGGTTCGAACCCGTGACCTTCCCCTCAGCAGACCGGCGCTCTCCAAACTGAGCCAACCAGGCGGCGGTTAATTTAAGAACTGTTTTAAATAGCAAGACCGGTTTGGGAAAGCTAAAATGATTTCCTACGTCAGTTGCTTTAACAGTTAGTTGCTCGTGGGGTTGCGCGCAAAAGAAATCAGGAAGGGCATGGGAACGTTAAGCGTTTACGCAAAGGACGCTGGGAAGGGTAAGCGAGAAAATGAGAAAAATCAGTGTCTTGGTAGCCTGCCTACTCGTAAAATACTAAAT